AAAAAAAAAACAAGATTAGGTAAGACGTTTGAGAAAAAAAATCGATGGTTTCTAATGAACATGATAAGTTCTTTCACCCGACAAATGGATTGATATTACAAAATGTAAGTCTTGAAAATTAAATATGATTTCAATGTCCATTTGATGCTTTTTAGTTTCGTTTGATCAGTTCATTCTCGGAGAAAAAATCAGTAAAAATTATTGGCTACTGAGCCGATGATCATAGATAATCAGCATTGAATGAAAGCGTTAAGAGTACGTGTATAACAACAATTTGTCATTTCCGCTGCGGATGTGTTTGTATGTGGTAACAGCAGTGGTATTGGCTCTCTTTTCCTAATATCGTAAGCTTCCACCTAAATTGCGTCCTATGTTCTGTTTAGTTATGGCCTCGTGTGACGCCATGTTGAAGTTGTCACTCAAGAAGGAGATAACACAGTTAAGGCAGGAAAAGGACATCAAACGAGCAAGAATGTCCGAGGTGTGCGCCGACCTAGTATACCACTGCAAACGCCATGCCAATGAAGACTACCTACTGTCATGCGCCAAGGGATCTCCACATAAGCCGTCTGGAATCGATCCTTATAAAGAAGCTGCATCCTGCCAAGTCATGTGACCCTTGAAAGCAGACAACAGTTTGGTCGCAGTAGAGCATTGAAATAATTGTCAGCAAGTTTATTTGTCAGTAAAGCATTAAAAAAAAATGGGTCGGGTCTCGGGATGTTTGCATTTCTCTGAGGGAGGGAAAATTTTAAAAAGTACCTGAATTTTGCGGGGCCTGCTTCTTCTAGTGTACCACCTGAGCGAATTTGACGTGATTATAGTAAATAAAAGAGGGAAATAACTCGGTGGTCTGACGAAAAACTCGAACTGATTTATTTTCCGCAGACGATAAGCCAGAGAAGCAGTAATTACGTGCCCTACTAAAATCCCAACAGTATCAGCAACCCAGCTACATATTTCACCTGTTATTAGTGGAATTCTACTAGTATACTAATGTAAATGCTGGAATCTGATTGGCTGAGCTACAGTATACCATCGACCATTAGTGCGGCAGTGGCTAGAGATCGTCCACATAATGGAAACGTTTTCTCGTTTCTCCGAAGTTTCGAAGAAGATTAATCAAAAATAATACTGGATAATTTAATTTCGAAGAGCACTGAAGAAGAGAAATTGACCTTTATCCAACTTCAAAACATCAAAATTTTCAATGTACTGATGAGCGCGTATAACCGCTGCAAGTTTCAACGAAAAATCTAATCCGAGCGTGATTTTGCTAAAGCGTGAAGTTTAATACTGCTTTTACTATGTAGAGAAATAACTGGAAATCGTTATTTGAAAGAGTAGTTGTTATGTAGAGAAATAACTGGAAATCGTTATTTGAAAGAGTAGTTGTTTCGGCCCTCAGGTTCATCAACTTATCACCTCAGAAATCTCAGTCCAGCTCAACCTGATTATTAAATAGAAATATAAAACTAAGAAAATTCAGGGCGGATGCGGAATGATTGTCATGAAAAGAATTCTCAACACTGGCAAAACACCGGGCTTTTGGCTTGTAATGGTGTTCTGTACTTGCTCAACCTGCCGACAACCAAAGTTTAATCGATGTAATGTAATGTAACCCTAACACTTGAAATCCGGGGATCACGGGTGCGCCCGCTCTGACCACTAAGCTGGAGTTGTTTTTCGGTAGACCTTAGTTCAACTCCTCGGTCATGCTTGTAAATAGTCAACTGGCCTGTCTCCCGCGGGGTCTCCCGCCAGTTTATTTGAAATATATCTTTCTTTCAGTTTAACTGGCATACCTGAGAACAAGCTAGGTGTAGCTAAGCGCATTGACCACTATAAACAACAACAACATTTGAACACTTTTTTGAAAATTGCAACATTGGAAATTCACCTACTTTATTTAGCTTACCGGAGCATTGCTTCACCATTGCCTATATACTCGCGTTCTAATCATTAAATGTGTAATGAGAAAGAAATGGATACTGTTCTATAACGGAATACATTTTGTTCATTTGGTCCTTGCTCCACACCACATAATGCCTTGTTATGGAAGGCGTTGGATCAACGACCTTCGCACATGCCTTGAGAAATTCGTCACTGCAAGTGATTTCAATAAACCGACAAATCTTTGACATGGTTTCCACTGGTTTCAGCACGAGCTCGAGGCCATTTACATCCAATAACTTGTCTCCAAGAATCTCTCTAGCGATTGCGCTTCCTTCAGCCCAGCGAAAGAATCTATCCATGCTGTGATCTAACAGTTCTGGATCATTAACCTAAAGAATGTAAACCAAAATTTCAAGGTAGGCTCTCGACTCTTTGATTGTTTCCTGGAACAACTGAAGCAAACGTCAATTAAAAGGGAAGCAGGGATGGTCCAGTGGTGAGAGCACTCGCCTCCCACCAGTGTGGCTCAGGTTCGAATCCGGTCCGTGCCATATGGGGATTGAGTTTGTTGTTGGTTCTCCCCTTGCTCTTAGGGTCTTTCTCCGGGTTCTCCGGTTTTTCTCTCTCCGCAAAAACCAACATCTCCTAATTCCAATCCGAGCAGGATAGAGGACCCGCATGAAAACCAGCTAAGGCCGAGGTGGCTTCTTTCTAAATTATTTATTTATTTATTTATTTATTTATTTATCTTTAATAAGAACGCTTACATATACTACGAAACGTGGTTTCCTAGGACCTGACAAGACTATTAGTACAAGGTAAGTTCTCTTACCTTCTTTATGTGGTCTTCGAACCTGCCTCCTGACTGATTAGTTCTCCTCAAGGTTATTGTTGAGACGATGTCGAACGGATTCCTTATGATGTGAATGAACTTCACTTTGACTCTATATTTGTTTTCAGTGTCCTCCACCAAACTCATGAGCGTATCACGCGGCATGTTTAGAATTACAGCAGATGTACTCCAAGCTGTCTTGTCACCAACAACCTAGGTAATTGTAAGAAAAACGGGAGAAAAAATAGCCTCGATTTATGTGACAGTGATTATTGCTTTGTCGTGACCCAGTTCTTCAGAGATTCGTGTAGCCACTGAGTTGCTGTTGTTGTTGTTGTTCGGGTGCAAACAGTCACTTCACTAAACAATGCTAAAGAGATCATTCTAAGAGCGTAGTCACCAATCTCAACGTTTTGTAGCGGATGAAATGAGTTGGTAAAGAGTCGTCTCATGATGATTTAGTTCTAGTTTCATGTTAGCAGTGGAAGGGTTAAATATTTGGAGGGTGTGATTTGGTCAATGGCTTAAAAGGGAACTGTGGAGTATACCACGTATGGCATCAGTTGTAGTATGGTTGTTTTGTGAGAGTGTTGCTTAGCGTTGCTCATTTTCAGTGAGAAACTTTGAGAGTTGACTCGGCGTATTTTGCTTTTTGGAAGTGACTGGAGAAAAATTAAAACTTCAAACACGCAGCTAATGAAATCAAATAGGTATGGAAAAACATGAAAAGGTGCTAGTCTAGAGGATGTAAAGCTAGCGATTCGGAAGTGAAAAAAGAGTTCTCTATAGTTAGCCTTCCTCTTTGCCAAGTGCAGTCCCTTTTGAAACTGAACCAAGGTAGCGCTGGATCATTCGCTTTTACTGGACAACATCAAGAGCTAGGGACGTGGCGAAGTATTAGGTCGGTATTGTTGGCTCTGCTATTTTTACTTACTTTAAGGTATTTGTCATACTTCCCTTGCCAATACCCTTCCATCCAGAATCCAAAATGTGTTGTGTTTTCAAGCGTTCCTGTCATTACCATGCCCTTCCCTCCTTTTAGAAAACTTTTTGATCCTTTCACTAACATGTCAAACAGTTCGTTTCTTTTGAACTTCGCCCCGTTCTTTAGGCGGGCAAAGAGGTCATTCTCATTGGCGACCACCATGTGTGGATGTCCATCGAGAAGAGATGCCAGCAGAGTATGGCGACTTCTTGAGTAGCCCACAAATAACAAAAGCGTATCAACCCTCTGGTATTCCTCTCTGTCTTCCTCTGGGAAAAATTACTGGTTTTATTGAGTTGTTTTCATTCCGATCAGGAGTCTAGTTTCAATTTTCACAAAGAAACTAGACGTTCCAAGAGCGATTACTCGGCCTTCGTATCCCATTATCAAACATTTCGCAGCTACTCAGGCCCGGTCCAAACGCCGCTCCACTCATGTGCCGAGCCAAACTTGATTAAGTTCGACTTTAAAGCGACTTTGGAGCGACGGCTGGTTCAGACGGCGTACTTGCGTCGAACTTAATTCGGGAATCCGGTAGTAACAATTTTCGACTAGAAAATATGCGTTATGAATTCAAGAACTCTGTCCAAATAGAAAAGTTGTGACTAACATTTCGCTGTTATAGCAATATTTAGGGAAGCAAATTCAAATTCAAGGTTCGGTGTTTGCATTTAGACAGGTTTTCTCCCGGTTAATTCGACTTGTTAAAGGGAAATCTCATAAGCTGGGCTATTATCACGGAGAAAAAGCAAAAAATGAATTTGCGCTAAAGAAACCGCTTACACAGTCCCGTTTCTCATAAATCAAAAGCATATGAATTATTTCATATATACTTCACATTAAAAGCATGTTTTGCTGTCTTTATTTTTAGCGACGACTTCGAGCTTCATGCATGACTGGTCACGCCACACAATTTTGAGCCAATCACGTGTCCCGTTATATGAAAAATACATTATAGTAATTTATGCATTAGGTTCGACACATGAGGAGAACGCCGTATGAATCAGTTGCCGCTCCAACGTCGTATAGTGCGACAGACCCTGCCGAATTTAATG